ACGGAGGCTTTTCCTTGGCTGATTCTCTGAAGAAGGAGATTGCCAGACTTCTCTTCCTAGTCCACTGTAGTCCCAAAGCTCCGCTGAAACCTTCGAAACATCGAAGCAACCTGCAGATGTCCCTGACCGGTCCGGTAGCACCTTGCTTTCTTAGGCGGTTTTCCTTCTACCTGGGCTTCACTGGGTGCGCCAGCCCCACGCACAGTCGCTGCTGTTTTTAGAAAGAACAGCTTGGCGTCCAAACCCCTTGCAGAGGTTGTAAATTCTCTGCTGCTCTGCGAACCTTCGGTGCCTTTAGTGGCTTGTTAGGATTCCACTGTTCCTCCCCTGGCTGCTCCATTGCCCCAGGGAAGAACCTGTCGGGAGAAGAGAACCCCCCTCTTCCTGCTTTCTCCTCCCAGAAGCACATCCTTAATCCCGGGGTGCATGGTGCTCAGTTGCCACGGCCTGGGAGGCCGCCAGCAGCCTCTGGGAGCCTTCTTGTGCTCAGGAGCCAGTCACTTCGCCTGCTCCTAGAGGAACAAAGCTGTGTTTTCCCACCTGACTTTGCCTGCTCCTTGCTAGCTCACGGTTAGGCTCCGTGTGCATTGGCTGCTCCCTCTACTGCTCCGAGCCAGCCGGGTCTGCTCAGAGCTGATCCTGAAGGTGGGGGAGCCCCCTGCTTCTCACGCTCATATGACATTTTGAAGGCAGGGTTTAAAGCCACTTGAAAGCACATCACAGCTTTCATTTCTATCAGAAGCACTGAGAGCAGTCTCGAGATGAAATCGGAAGTGATCTGGGTGCATGACAGCCCACCACAGAGACGCCCTCTCGGAAACGTGGCCATGGTATTTTTTATTCCCGCTTCATGCTGGACACCACGGCACCGGCTATTTCCGGACTGCACTGCTCCCACCTTCCCCTTCCAAGCGTTTTCTTTGTGCCTGCAGCACGCCAGCTTCTTCCTACAGCCCTCTGAAGCCTGAGATACAATCGACCCAGTTTAATATGATGAACGGAGGTCAGAAGGTGGTAAGCATCTCAAGGTGACACAGCTAATAAGGGGACCCTGGCTAGATTTGAATGTGGCCAACCAATTCTGTCCAAAGAGGGAGACTTGTGGTTTCACCCCAAACAGCGAAGCCTACCCGATGATCTGTTTTTTTCCCCTTAGACACATGTCTGCCACAGAGAGGTGGGTACCACGATCTGTTATAAGTGGTGCACCATTGGCTCCTCGGGGTAAGATGGTGCCCACGGTTCTTATGCTTGGCTGCTCACCTAAAGGTGGGCGTGGGTTCTAGTCCACTCAGAGGTAGGTGCCTTGGAAGAAAGACCTGAGATTCTGCTTCTGAAAACCTAGCCAGCAAAACTTCTAGAGAACACAGTTATGGGCTGAGGCGCCTGGGGCCACATGGGCTGGAGACAGTTTGGCGGCAACTTTTAAACACTGTGACGGAAGCTTTGAAACTGGTATAGAGCACTCCCAGGGGAGGGCTGCCCGGCCAGCCTGTGCATCTCTTCCTTGGGGAATGGGAGGGGCAGGATGAAAGCATTTGGACCTTCTGCCAGAGCTGTCTCCGGCCCGGAGCAGAAAGGGCCCAGGCTGGATCCCGGCGCAGCTGGACAAGCCTCACCCACTCGTCCCTGGCCTCACAGGAGGGACAGAAATGCAGGGCTCGTGTGTACGGAAGCACCCTGTGTCAGCCCCACCCTCCTCCCCCGCACAGATTATTAGATAGACCACAGTAGGCATTTCTGCCACCTCCAGGTCCCAGGGGGCCGGCACAGGGTCAGATCAGAAGCCAACCCCAGCAGTTAGGAAAATTAGCAGTATTTATGGGTTCCCAGAGACATCTGGTTTCTCATAGCCAGTCCCATGGGACGTTGCGGCCCCTTAGAGGGCATGTGCCCAGTGTGGGACAGCCCAGGCTGTCACAGTGGCTGGACGTCCCTCCTCCTGGTCTTTCTAGCTGGGTCTGACCATCTAGAGCAGGGGTTCTCAACCTTCCTAATGCAACGACAGTTCCTCATGTTGCGGTGACCCCCCCAACTATAAAATTATTTTCGTTGCTACTTCATAAGTGTAATTTTGCTACTGTCACGAATCATTATGTAAATGTCTGATATGCGGGATGTATTTTCATTGTTACAGATTGAACAGAAAGCATAGTGATTAGTCATGAAAGACTATGTCATTATATACTGTGAAATATGTATTTCTAATGACAAATAAATGAAATGTCTGGAAGCATGGTATAGCATGGGTAACAGTCTTCACACCGGGTACTCATATGTGGATGTATCTGCATGTGGGCGGACCCAGCTGCAGACGGATAGAGAAGTGGTGTCTCAGATCCTAAGACCATTGAAAATATGTGTTTTCCGATGGTCTTAGGTGACCCCTATGAAAGGGTCGTTCGACCCCCAAAGGGGTTACAACCCACAGTTGAGAACCACTGCTCTAGGGGGAGACTGACCATCCTGTGGTGAGCTGGACCCCCAGGCACTTGCTGTGAAGAACAGCCCGACCCACGAGGGACGCTGGAGCATGCCCGTGCTTCCCATGGCTCCTGGCCATGCGGCAGCCTTGTGCAAATGCCTTCCTCACCAGTACCAAGATGGAAAATGGGAAGCAGCATGGTCCCGTCGCTAGGTGTGCTCTGTGGAAAGGCCATGTTTGTAAAAGGACATGCACATCTGGTCCTGTGTCCACTTGCTCCAGTTCTTCACAGATGGCCTTGTGTCTGCTGGACTCGCTGGGGCCCAGGAAGACCCACATTGGGGAGAGAATTCTTGGCACTGGGAGGCTTTCCTGTCAAAGGTGCACCTAGCACTTGGGCCCACAGCCTACCTGGTAATGGGACTCAGTCCCGGGCTCCCTCTGGGCCCGCCTTCCACTTCTCTCTTTCTACAGCTGATCTCTCCTCTGTGTGCTTTGCGTTTGATTTCATTTTCCGTCCGTTTGCTCTGTGTGAAACATGTTCGGAAGAGCTGACCTGTGCCGGACATGATTGGCTAGCAGAAAGCTTGAAGGTCGATCCCACCCAGGGACTCCTGGGGAGAAAAGCTTGCCGATCTCACTGCCATCGTGACGATGCCGCCTCCTAGTGAACCCACAGGACAGGGTAGAACTGCCCCTGTGAGTTTCCGAGACTAGCTGTGAGCGGGGGTCCGGAGCCCCGCTAATTCTGGAAAAGCAGTCTTTGCAATCACTACGGAGCTGGGGTTCTCCCTGGCAGCTTCGGTGAAGAGTGGGTCAGCTTTTGCTCCCTGTCGCCTGGGGGTGGATTTCGACCTCCGACCTTCCGGGGGCAGCTGAGTCTCTGAGCGGTGTGGGCACCACTCAGGAATGCCTGACGTAACCTGCTTAAAGAAGAAACAACCCACCCACCCCCACCGCCCCCAGGAGCCCCCTTCTTCTCTGGCAACACCTGGGTCAACAGCTGCTGAGCACTGGGTGGCCGAGGCTGAACAACTCTCTTCTTGTTTTGCAGTCGGGAAGACGTCTCTGATCACGAGGTTCATGTATGACAGCTTCGACAACACGTACCAGGTAAGGTCCTCGGCTCCCCCCATGTCTGAGCCCCGGACAGCTGCTGGAGAGCGTGGCCCGGCCTCTTTGTGGGACTTGTGGATGCTGGGAGGCGAGCAGGTGTCCTGGGCCACGGGCGGCCATTTAGCTCTGGAGGAGCCTTCATCTGTGTGCAGGCCCCGGCCAGTGAAGGTCCCCGCCTCTTCTGAAAAGCCAAAGCTTGGTCGATGAAAACATTTCCAGGGGAAATGAGGAAAATAGACAAGCCAATTCCATCTGTGTGCTCTTGTTCGGCAGCCCGAAACCCTTGCGTGCTTGGTTACTTGGGTGGGTGGGTGGGTGGTAGGCCGTCAGGCGGAGGCAGATGGGCAAGGTGAGAAACCAGAGGCGGAAGTGGAAGCATTAGGAGGACTTGCTCCTGGAGCGCGGCAGCATGACAGCGAGGTGCTGGGGCAGAGTGGGGCCTGGCCTGGTGTCTTGCACTGCTCCATGTGGGTGGAGGCTGCACAGAGTGACCTCTTTGGCTCATAGTTCTTGACGGCGAGGCTGGGGACAACCAGAGGCCCAGTGCTGCGCTCCAGGTGGCAGCAAGGTGAGTCGGAGGAGGTGCATAATGTTCGCTTTTCTGGCACCGGTGGGGAGTGTGGGGAGGTTTGTGAAGTGTCCCTGCAGCTATAGCTTTTCTCCAAACGTAAGCATTTCAACTACGTTTAAGAGAAAAGATACATTTTGCAAGTGCTAATGCATTTTTCTCTACACTCCTGGTTCTAAGAGCTATTGGTAACTATATCTTGGGTAAAAAAATAGGATAAGGGTGATTGTGTGCTTACAGAGGCTTAGGGGGCACTGCGTGAACAGAGTGAATGGGCTTGCCTGCTGCAGGCCTTGCCTCTGTCCCCATGTGGTTTTGCTTTGCTGAAAGAAGACGCATTGTGCTGGATCTCCCAGATGTATTTGGTCATGGAATCCTTTGGTCATCAAGGGCTTTAAGGACAAGTATTTATAGAACTCACTGGGAACTGCTGTTCTAAGTTGTCCCTCCACCTTCCCAAACCGAGTCAGAGAGGATGTGGGACACAGCAGGCTGCAGCTCACTGTTGTGTGCCTGCTTTATAGTCTGGCTGTTTCCTCTGAACCAGCCAGTATCCTTGCTTCAAACAGAGCCCTCCTCTCTGCCTCTCCCTGTAATGTCCTGCTTTGGGTCTGCTGTGGTCCTGGTGAGAACTGACTGTAAGGTAGGAACTCGAGGCTCTGGGCGTGGGATCCTGAGTGACACGCGTAGCTCTGAGATGTGGACTCAGGAGGCGTGGCCTTGCTTTGCCTCTGTTGTGTCTCCTGAAGACCAGGGCTTTGCAGACAGACCCACAGACTTGCCAGGACCTCTTCTGCTGACACAGCCGTGCACTCCTGCGGTTGGGATTCGAGATGGCAAATCTTAACAGACTTCATTTCTTGTCTGATGTGTTACTCCGTGTGTGTGTGTGTGTGTGTGTGTGTGTGAATAGTCTCAGCTATCTATTTTTTATTATCTGAGACTTTTGATTATTGATTACTAAGTTCCTTATAATGTCTCCTGGGAGTCCCCAGGCAGCATGAATACCTCAGCATGAGTCTGCTATCTAAAGGGTTGGTGGTTCCAGTTCAGCCAGAGGCTCCTCAGAAGCCAGGCTGGGCAATCTGCTCCTGAGGAGGGCCCAGCCTTGAACCACCTGCCGGTCAGTTCTACTTTCCACACATGGGGTCTCCAGGAGTCGATTAGAATCCACGCTCTGGCAACTAGCAATGCCTGTAATGTCTCCCAGGAAACACAGCACCACTCTTGGCCGCTTGGTATTATAAGCAGTGGTGAGTGGCAGGCATGACCTTTGCCAAAGTCTCCATCCATGTGGATCAGAGCTTCTACTGCTCCCCAGGACACCCGAGACCCTCAGAATCTTACTCCACTTCTAACTCCCATGGTCTGTGGGCCTCCCTGCTCCCCATCCAGTGAAGCTGTCGGGACTCTTCCACACATTGCCTCGTGCCATGGCTTCTACTGGAATGCCCTGCCTATTTCTCCCTTCTAGCTAGCTCACCAGAGTTCGGAGCACATGCCCCCTTGGACAGATATATCCATGGTAGAGTAGAGCAGACAGAGCACAGGGTGATGGCAGGTTTTCCGGAAGAACCGAACACCTGTAGAAAATGAGTTGCTGGGCCTGGGGGCTCAGTACCATCAACTTGGGGGACACTGAGCCCAGTTGGAATAAAAGCCACAATGAGAGCATTCTGTGCCCTGCTCTGATGAGTAATCATTAGTGTGTTAAAAACGGTGAGTGGCCATTTATTGGCTGAATTTTCCAGAGAAACAAAGCGCTCTTATATGCATAAGATATAATCATATCAATAAATGCATTTATATCAAGGAAGCAGCCCAGCCCAGTGGAGCTCATGTCCGTGGGTCAGAGCTAACTGGAGCCCCATCCAGACTCACACAGCTGCTGGCTGGTGAACCAGGAAGGGGAAGCGGGGCGATCCCAGGCTGGCAGGTGCAGAGTCACGTGGAACCAAGGTTGGCAGAATATGAGAGGGCACCAACGGCTCCCAGGGTCTGCAGTTCCCAGGGGCCACCAGCCCCAGAGCTCGGTCCAGAATCCAGGCAGGCAGGGACGTGAAGGGCAGGCAGGGGTCCACTGTGCTGCTCATAAAAAGGCCACACACCCCAAGATGTCACCAGAGGGACAGGCTGGACTCCACGCCTACCTTCATGCAGGCACATCAAGTTGACATCAGCTCTAACCATCATCATGGCGGTCTCCTCCCCCGGAGCAGAGAAAAATGGAGACAGCACGAGATGCATGGAAACCGTTATCCCAGAGGACCGACCAGCCAGGTGACCCAGAGAGCAGAGGTCGAAGTGGAGCCACCGGTCCCTGCTGACCGCTCTGAAAGGTCCTGGAGCGAGTGGGCAGACAATGAGGAAGAAAACTCAGCACCTTGAAACAGAGCAGGTGTGCTGGTCAGCTGTAGCTGGTAATGTAGTTCTGTGGCTCACCTGTCAGGACACAGCAGGCGGACAGGCGGGCCTAGAAGGTGACAGCAGGCAGGCAGGTACGCACGCCCTCCTCCCCACAAACAAACGCCGCCCAGTGAAATCAGAGGGTGCCCTTGGTCCAGGGACAAAGCTCACAGGGCGGGAGGACAAAGGGAAGTGGCAAACAGGGAGGAAGGGGGAGAATTGTGCTCACCCTGTCGGGGCTGCAAACTGTGTCACAAAACAAAGTGTGTATGGCTTGTGGACTAAGCTGAAAACCAAACTTATGGCCCTGGAATGGTTGAGTGGAGACCCCATGTGCTCTGTAAACGTTCACCCGAATCACAGTGAACATGAGTCCAAAGTTGCAGGGTACCCTTGAACTCATGTACCCTCCATCCTCCCCCCAGCCCCAAATCTGCCCAAAGCACGGCCGGACACCCTCCCTGAGGCCCTGTCTGCAGTGGCACCGTGCCCTCGGGGCAAATCTAGTCTTTCCAGACTCCATTGGTACACACTCCAGTCTGGCTGTGCTCCTAGGCCCTGCATAATGCCTGTGGCCGTACCAGGTGTTAGAGGTGACTGCTGGGCAGCTGTGACTAGGAGAAGTGCTGTCTGCATCGGGTTTTAGATGCCCGGTGGCCGTGAGGCCTCTTCTTGGTCTTGTCCCAGAGGGAAGCGGGGGGAGCAGGTGGAATTCTTTTAAAGTGGTAATTAGGCTGGGTGGCCAGGGTCTGATTCTGTGTGCACACATTCGTTCATGTTAATGAATTCTCTGGAGAGCGGATGGGGAAATGTTACTTTGTTTATTTTGCTTTCTTAACTTGGTGGCAAAGAGGTTTGGGAAGTAAAGATCCCCAAGGAGTCTGGGGGGATGAACCTAATCGTCCCCCTCTTTTCCAAGTTGCCCCCAGCATGGTAACTTCCTGCCTTCACCACAATCCCCCTCCTCCCCCCCACACACACACACACACGGCCACCCTGACCCTCAGCAGTGAGTCCCACAGCCTGGCTCAGGTGGCCAGATCGTGCCCAAGGCAGAGTGTGCTCCAGCCTTTCTGCATGACGCTGTCTCTGTATCTCGTCTCATCCACTCATTCTGAGGACAGATGCCTGCTCCCTCTGTGGAGGGCAGATCGGGAAACTGAGTACAGACTCTGGCCTTCTGTCCTCAGCTGGGGCTCAGGCCTGAGGAGGCCACATGGCAGGGAGCAAACCTGAGGCCCAAGAGGCCGGCCTCCAAGCTTGGGCATGCAGAGCGAGCTCCTATTGCTGGACCTTGGGAGTTTCTGTCTGTCTTCAGGCCCCAGGAGACGCCCCTGAGGCCTCAGGAGAGCAGGCTCTGCCCCTCCATCCTGGCACACATGTCCCCTGCCTACATACCCACCCCCCACACCTTGCTCTCTGCACACAGGCCCTCTCCCCTTCCCCGTCTGAATCTCCTCTGTAGAAGAAGTGAACAGT